CGTAACCCGTCGTCCACAGTGTCTCGGTTCCTTGGGACTGTGAGACCCTTGCGTGCGCACCCCTCGCTCGCCTAATTGCATTCATATCCTTAAGACTCCCCCACTTCCCCCAAAAATCCTTGGCACACCCCTTTTCGCACTTCCAGGCCCACACTCCACTCCGATCAGGAAGTCGCGCTGGGCGTGAGGTTGAGCGTCACATCCCTTCTGCTCCAAAGTTGTTCTGTCTATCAGCCAATCATTGGTCGGTAGGCACCAATGCGTTTTGCCTGTTTGAATTTAGTTAGCCAGAACAACACTACAGGTCTCAGCACTTCCTTATCAACGTTCAGGGGACTCATCCAGCGGGCCTCCATCTGGTCCCGGAGGCTTGCTTTTTGTCTGAGTAGCCTGTACACTGACTTGACTGTCAGACTGTATGGCAATGTGGTAGACTTTCTTCCCTCCCTGCTGGAGTTGTCCATACCCATTCGGCAGGATCTAGCACCAGATGGTGGATCTGAGTGCATGGGAGGTATGCTATCCATTGCTCCTTTTTGTGCAGGACCCTGATTCTGAGCAAATCTTCTTTGCGGCAAGCTATTGTCTCTTCGGGTGAAGTTCTTTGGAGGGAGTTGCCCTTTCCTATTTTGAATAGATTAACTATTATTGGTCCTTCCTGGCTTCAACAGACCACATTGCCCACGTCCCCTTGTCGTTCTTGGATTGTCACCCGATCTGATTCCCAGTGATGATTCAGGTCAGATTCATTCATGCTGAGGATTTGTGCCCACCTTGAAAAGAGTACGACTCTTACCAGTTAACACGGTAAGAGCTTGTTACATGCTGCACCTGCACAGAGGCCCCACTTGAGGGGCCCGGCGGTTGCTGAAGGGGCCCCAGACCCCGCGCTACCCAGCACGTACCGGCAATGGTCCGTTCGGACATTGTCTCGGACTGCAGGTTCAAACGTGGTTTCGGACTGCATGTCCCAAGGCGTCACCTTGGGCCAGGTACAAAAGGCCTAGGCCACTTTCAGGCCAGGCGTGTTTTGGCGCCTCGCTGCATCAGCAGCGCGGTCTGCCAGTGGACACCCGGTACGGGCCCAGACCGAGTAGGCCGTTTGAGGCCAGTACCTGAGGAACACCCAGCAGGCCCAGCGCTACTTATAGCTGGGCTGCGGCTGGGCTGGGGACAGTTCGGGTAGCTCACTCACTTCTTGAGTGACACGCTGCTGGTTGGACGCTGCGCTGCAAGGCTGGGAAGGAGCGGCGTAGGAGGCACAGAGAGGCGGAGGCCATACCTGTAGTGGCGAACTTACCTGGCGCCATAGCTTGGGCTCCGCGTGGTACCTGCACAGGATGACCACGACGGTCAGTACGACCTGAAGGTGAGGCAGCGAGGAGGGCAACATCTGCTTCTTCCTTCTCGCCCTCCATCTCGTCTCCCTCTCTCCTCCTTCTTCCTCCTTCCTCCTCCTTCTTCTTCATCATCTTCTTCATCTTCTTCTTCAGATACGAGAGTGAGAGGGATTACAGGCAGAGGATACAGGCAGGGGCTACTATGGGCAGAAGGCCCAGGATCTGATTCGACATTCTTGAGGCAGACACTGATTGGACATCGGCAAGGGACTTTTTTGGACTTCGCTATTGAGATCCTGGTCTTCTCTCTCGCCTCCATCTTCGTCTCTCCTCTTCCCCCATCCCTCATCTGTGGTATCCCCCCATGTGCATGTACAAAGGAGGGACCTTTCTTCTATGTGTGTGGTCCCTCCTCCTCTCTCACATGTGTGACGAGGGATGGGGTGTCGCGTCAGTCCCGGTCAAGTCAGGACTTATCTCAGAGTCTTCCACTGCGCTATTTTGTGCCATTTCGTATGTATCGAGGCACCCACGAGATGGAGAAAGTCAGACTGGATGGACCAGAATTCACAGATACTATCAAACAACAGGTTCAAGCTGACATCTCCACCCAGTCGGAACAGGTGAAAAGCCGGATCGCCACACTTCACGACTCCAAGGAAATTCAACGAATTATCCAACAATTCAGTGGCAACTGGGTTGGGGGAACGAACGGGGGGGCATTGGGGATGGTGAGAGAGAGAGAAGGGCAAGGAAGGGACCAGAA